GTGGGGGTGCCCGTGGGTGGGGGCGGTTTCTGGGTGGGTGGGTGGGGGTGCCTGGGCTGTTTAGAGGCTGGGGCGGTGGCGGTGGCGGTGGCGGTGGTGGGTGCCTGGGGTGGTGGCGGGGACGGTGGTCGGGGCAGTGCCGGGGGTAGGGTCTGCGCCTGGGGTTGTGGAGCGGGATGCGGGATGCTGAGAGGCGGCGGCGTGCAGCCAGCGTGCCAGCCGTCTGCTTGCCCAGGCTCCTGCCCAGCCATCTGCCTGCGCGTGCCTGCCTGACCCTGCGTGCTTCCCTCCCCTCCCCTGCCCGCCCCCCTCCTCGCAGACCTGGCCAACTGGGGCAAGGTGCAGCTGGCGGGCAACGTGGGCATGTGCGGCGTGCTGGCGCTGAGCGGGCACAAGGCGCTGGCGCGGCTGCGCCCGCTGGCGCTGCTGCCGGGGGCCACGGTGCGCCGCCGCCGCCGCTCGTGTGCCTGCTGCTGCCGCCTGTGTGCCTGCGTGCCTGCTGCTGCCGGGGGGTGTGGGGGCGCGCATGCCGTAGCCGGCAGGCAGGCACGGGGCACACAGGCTTGCTGTGTTCTGTTGTGCTGCGCTGCTCGGCTGCCGTTGCTTGCATCGAGGTGTGCGTCGTCTGCTGTGGAGACCCCTCTCCTCTGTCACATCACTGCCGCATCTATCCTCCCAACCCTCCTCCTACTACTCACCCCCACCCACCTGACCCGCACCCCCCGCCACTCTGTATTGTGCCCTCCCCGCAGGCGCGGCTGCAGCCCATGGGCAAGGTGCTGATGGCGCCCGTGCGGCAGGCGCTTGCTGGGCCCGTGCGGCGAGCGCTGGTGCACAAGCCGGTGGTGGTGGGCACCACCGCGGCGGTGGCCACCCTGGCGGCCTCCACGGCGCAGGCGCCGGCGCTGCGGGAGACGGTGACTGTGGGGGCGCGCGTGGCGGCCAGCGTGCGTACGGCGGCGCAGGCCACACTGGCGGCGGCTGGTACCGCGGTGTACCGCGCCGGCGCCGCCACCACGCGCACCACCAGCCAGGCGGCAGTGATTGCGGGCAGCCTGGCGGGCGCGGCCACCCGCGGCGCCGCGGGCCTGATGGCGGGCCGGCCGCAGTCGGCGGTGGAGGGCGCGCCCGGCGGCGGCGGGCTGTGGGGCCGCGGTGCCGCGCCGGCCAGCCCGCCGCGCGCCTCGCTGCCCACCCTGCGCGGCCTGGACCGCTCGCAGCGCCTGGCCCTCGCTGTCACCTCGGCGGCGCGCCGCTAGCGTGGCCCCCGCGGCTGCAATGCGGCGCGGGCAGCAGCAGCAGCAGCAGCAGCAGCAGCAGCGCTGCGCTGCCCCCTTGCAGTGTCGCTACAGGCATACGACCCGCCCGCCTGTCCCTCCTTTCAGCAGCTTTGGGGGCGCACCACGCATGCACACCGCGTACCCCGAAGCACACCGGGGGCAGGCGGGCGCACCTCTAGGATTAGGCAGCCAGGCGGCCTGTGCTGGTCGGGGCGCCGCCTCGCGCACCCCTCCTGCACACCGCCCTATCTTTCTTTGTACGCACGCAGTGTCTACCCTCTGGAACCCCAATGCTCCGATTATTCCCCACCTTGTCTAGTCCCGTAGCGTCGAAAACGAACTCGTGGCCTGCCCACCCCGACCATGCAACTTGTGCATGCACCGGGGGGGCTGCCGCCGTCTGCACTGACATACTCTACCCCTGTCTCCTTGCTCCCACTGCCTCCTTTCCCTGCCCCTGCCACCACTTGAGCTCGTGCCCTGAATATGCTTCGCCGTGACCCGGCTCTCCTCGCTCCGGCCCTTTCCTCCGGCCCGTTTCAAAAAGCGCCGCCCCGCTGCGTGCCGCCACCCTAGCCGGGTGCGGCAACCAGCCGGCCCTTGCCTTTTCCTCGCCCACATGCCGTTTTCCATCGCCACTCAGCCTCCCCTGGCGCCCCCCGTGCTGCACAAGCATGGCGCTGTGCCGGCCGGCTCCCCTGTACCAAGCAAACCTTCATTCCTCCATTCTTGTGAGCTGGCCACCGCCTGCCTCCCAGCCGCATTTGGAGACTGCCTCCCTGCTGGCTTTGGTGGCCGTACCGACGCACCCTTGATGCGGCGCAAGCGGGCAGAGGGCAACCCCAGAAGCGGCGGGGCCTCTGCCGCGGCTGCGCAGCCCGACGCACCGTTTTGACCTTTGATTCCGGCGCCGTGCCGTGTTTGTTTTGACGCACTTGATTTGGACCCGATGCTGCCGCACTGGCTGTAAGCACCTCGCCTACACTTGAGCCACAGATAACAACAGCAGGGTGTCGGGGCGGGCGGCGGCCAGCACAGCGCTCGCAGCGTGATGCCATAGTGGGGGCTAGGGCGGCGCGGCGCCGCGCGCCTCCATTCTCGCTTCGGGCTGTCCACATCTCCCGCCGGCAGGGTGCACTGGCAGCCACAAGGAGCAGCCGTGGGCTCTTTGATCACTCCCAGTTTTCAGGGATGGCGGAGGAGGCGGGCCGCGGGGCCCTAGAGGTGCGCGGGTGCCCGAGACGAGGCCGGGGACGGCCTAGGGGGCCCGTCGGGCGGAGCCCTCCCGCTGTGTGCCGCGCCGCCGGGCTCTCTTGCTCGCCGCCGCTGGCGCCCCACCAGCCCGCCCCTGTTTGCTGCCAGCAGGGCCTGACTTTCTTCGTCAAGATGGACCACCGGCTGGAGGAGGACCCTGAGCAGGAGGACGCCACGCTGGCTGTGCAGGAGATCGTGGGTGGGTGGCGCCTCCTCTGGCCCCGCCTGCCTGGCGCACACACTGCTTGCCGCTTGCCGCCTGCGTGCTTGTGGCGCTGGGGCCTGCACCATAACGCCGCACCTCATCCCCTCCCTTCTGAGCCGAGCTCGCCGCTGGCCCCACCCCGCACGCTGCGCACGCTGCCCGCAGCCCGGCACGGCGGCAGCGTGGTGGGCGACATGGCGGCCGCAGACTACTGCCTGCTGCAGCACCGCAAGCAGCCTGAGCACGTGCTGGCTGCCGGCATGCTGAAGAAGGCAGTGAACCTGGTGTGGCTGCTCTCCAGCATCGCGCACGGCCGCCCCGCGCCGTACGCGCCGCCCGGCGGCGACGCCAACCGCCACAGCCCCTTCCCGTTGGCCGCCCTCACCACGCCCTCCTCCCACCGCTGCTGCCTGTCGGGCTTTGACGCCCGCGGCGCCGAGCGAGGGATCATGGCCCTGCTGCTGCGCTGCACAGGCGCCGAGGTGGGTGCAGCTGGCGGGCGGGCCAGTGGCGGCGGTGGGTGGCAGGGTGGTGGCTGTGGGTGCGTGCCGCTGACGGAAAGTAGAAGCGCTGCCGCTCACTGCCGTCACTGGTGGTTCGGGGCGAGCCCTAGGGAAGCACACCCAGCCAGCCGCCCACGCCTCCCATACGCTGCTGCCGGCCCCGCCGCTCACCCCGCTGCCCCCCTGCCTCCCCCTGCCTCCCCATGCCGCCAGTTCTCCAAGAGCCTCAACATGAGCGGCAGCACCCGCATCGTGCTAGTCACCCCAGACACGGTCGAGCCGTCGAGGAAGGCAAAGGCGGCCAGGGATTTGGGCAAGTGAGTTGAGGGAGGGGCAGGCTGGCTTGTTTGGGGCGCGGGGCGGAGCAGGCTGGGTTGTTTGGGGCGCGGGGCGGAGCAGGCCGGGTTGTTTGGGGGAGAGGCAGCACCGCAAGCAGCCAGCAGGGGATGGCTGGGCAGGGGTGGCGCACCCGCGCACGAGGCGCACAAAGCGCAACGCGCAAGCCGCCGCGCCCGGTGCCCCGCTCTGCCCGACGGCATACCTGCCGCCTCCCGGCCCGCCGCAGCCGAGGCTGCGGCGCGGGCCCCGGCCGCGCTTGTCCCTGTCCTGCCCTTGTTGCGCTCGCCGTCCGCAGCCTGCCTGACCGCCGCTGCGGGCGTGGCTGTGGGTGCAGGAAGCAGCCCGGCAGGGCGCAGATCGTCAACGGGCTGTGGCTGATGGACAGCCTAGTGAAGGGGCGCATGCTGCCGCCAGGCGAGTGGCGGGGACCTCGGGAGGCTGGCGGCAGGCCGCAGGCTGGCAGGCCTGAGGCTGCGCAAGCGCATGGCACTTGCTGTGTACATAAAGCATGCCGCGCCCGGCGCCAGGCGTGCGCCGCGGCTGCGCCTCGCGCCAGCGCCCTCCCCGAGCCAAGGAACCCTCCCCGAGCCTTCCCTGGCTCTTGCTCCCTCCCGCCAGCGCCCAGCCCCAGCCTGAGCCTGTGCCTGTGCCTTGCTCCCTGGCCCTGCCCCTTGCCGAGTGCAGAGGAGTACCAGGGGGCCGGCAGCATCACGCAGCTGCTTGCGGCAGAGGCGCAGGGCGGGGAGGAGGAGGGGGCGGGCGCGGCGGGCCTGCAGGTGACCGATTCTGAAGAGGAGCAGCAGCAGCAGCAGCAGCAGCCCGCATCTGCAGCGGCAGGGCCTGCGGCAGCAGCTGCAGCGGCAGGGGCTGCGGCAGCAGCTCCCGCGCCCCGGCCGGCAGCGCCTGCGCCGGCGGCGGCGCCGAGCGGCAGCCAAGCGGCCGGCCGCCGCTCCTCCGCCGCCTCTGCGGCCGCCGGGCATCCGCTGTCACTGGTGGTGAGCGACAGCGGCACCGGGGGCGGTGTGGCGAGGCACGTCGCTGGGAACAGCGTGGAGCAGCTGCCTGCGGTTGCAGAGGAGGCGGAAGAGGAGGAGGTGCAGGCGGCGGCGGCGACAGGGGCTCAGCAGGAGGCGGCGGCGGCGGACAAGGGGCAGGGTGGGGCAGAGGGCCCCCAGCAGGAGAACCGCCCTCCGCCGCTGGTCGCGCCGCAGCCCAGCGCCAGCAGCGGCAGCGGCGCGCCTCTCATGGAGCGCGCTCGCTTTGCGGGGGTGAGCAGGCTGCCTGTGGGGCTGCGGGGCTGCCGGCGCCGCCGCCTGCTGCCCTGCCTGCTCCCGCCAGCACACCTGCTGCGCGCCTGCTGCCTGCGACAGGAGGAGGCTTGCGGGAGGAAAGGCAGCGCAGCAGCGCGCTCCGGCTCTGCTCTGCCCTGCCCTGCTCTGCTCTGCGGCCCTCCCCCCTCCCAGCTCGCTGACCGCCTGCCACGTACCGCCGGTACCGCACCACCTGTACCGCAGCCCACCCAGGCCATGCTCAACCTCCGAGGCATCATTGCTGACCTGGCAACAGAGGAGCAGCTGTATGTCCCTGCCGGTCACCCCCAGGAGCAGCAGGCGGCTGCAGAGGAGGAGGAGGAGGAGGAGGGCGGGGGCCGGGCCGCTGCCGCGGCAGCGGCGGCTGCCGCTGCGGCTGGTGGGAGCGCTGGCGGGGAGCCTCGGCAGCAGCAGCAGCGGCAGCAGCAGCAGCCTCAGCAGCAGCCTGGGCAGCAGGAGGCGGAGGAGGGGACGACAGACTATCTCTCGGCAGATGGCGGCGGGCCGGGCACCTCTGCTTACCTAACGGCCCACTCGCCGCCGCGCCCGGCGCCAGACCTCCCCCGCACCGCGGCGGCAGAGGGGGCCGGGGAGGTGCAGCCGCACGCCGGCGGCGACGGCGGCGACGGCGCGCCAGCAGCAACTGCTGCTGCGGCAGCGGCGGCGGCTGCGGTGGCGCCGCCGCTCTCTCCCCTGGCCTCGCCGGCTGGCTCTGGGGGCAGCGGGGATGAGACTCCAAGCCCCAGTGAACTGGGCATGCTGGCTTCTGGCTGTCTGGCGGCAGATGAGGATGACGCAGGCACCCCGGCGGCGGGTGCCCCCCGCTCGGCCGGCGCTGCCGCCGCCAGCCCCGCGGCGCCCGCTGCTGCGGCGGTGGCAGAGCTGGCGGCTGTGGCGGAGCTGCAGGCCACAGAGCCGGCTGGCGGTGCTGAGGAGGCAGAGGCTTGGGTGCTAGAGGCGGCGGCGGCAGAGGATGTGGGCGTGGCGGCGGTGGAGGAGGCGGTGGCGGCGGAGGAGGGTTCGGAGACGGAGGCTGAGGAAAGCCCGCCGCGGCAGCAGTGGGTGCTGCGCATCGGCGCAGAGCAGCAGGAGGCGGGTGCCGCTGCGGCCCCGGCGGCGGCGGCGGCGGCGCCAGAGGCTGTCCCTGCTGCCGCGGCTGTGCAGGTGCCGGCCGCTGCCTCGGCCGGCGCAGCCGCAGGCCTGCCCGCGGGGCCGCCGCAGCAGCAGCAGGCGCCGAGGCGCAGCGTCACTTCGGAGCTGGGCGGGGAGGGAGACGAGGAGGCACGGGCGGAGGAAGAGGGCGCGGTCAACTCCAGCGACGAGGACGGCGGCAGCGCGGTGTTTGAGGATGCTCCAGAGGAGCTGCCCCCGCCTGCACAGCCGGCAGCAGCAGCAGCACCGGCAGCAGGCGCAGCAGAGGCAGCTGAGGCGGAGCCTGCAGCGCAGCCTGCTGCACAGCCCGCCGCCGAGCCAGCCGCGGAGCCCGCCGCTGCAGCGGCGGCGGCGGCGCCAGCAGCGCCCGCAGAGCGGGACGTCAGCCCGCCCGTGCCTGCCAATGCCGCCGCTGCCGCGGCTGCGCGGGAGCGCCGCGGCGCCGCCACTCGCTCTCGCTCCCGCTCAGCCTCTGCCAGCGCGGGTGGCGGCGGCAGTCGCAAGCGTAAGCAGGCGGCGCCGGCCAGGGCAGAGTTCAGCCAATACCTTCCTGAGGCGGATGGGCAGCAGAAGCGCTCGCTGACGCGCATGGCTCGTAAGGACGCCGCAGCAGCCGCAGCAGCCGCAGCAGCAGCAGCCTCACCGGCAGCTGCCATGTCGCCGGCAGCGGCCGCGTCGCCGGCGGCGCCCACGCCTGCCCCGCCCTCGGCCGCGGTGGCGGCAGCTGCTGCGGCGGCTGCGGCGGCCACCAGCGCTCGCAAGGCGGCGCTGGCCTGTACCGGGCGTACCGCCTACGGCGTGGAAACGATGCCGCTGCTGCGGCGCAAGGGCAGCCGGGCGCCACCCGCGGCGGCGGCGGCGGTGGCGCTGGCGGCCAGGCAGGCGGCGGCTGCGGCTGCTGTGCCTGCTGTGCCTGCTGGGCCAGGTGATGTGGAGACGGGAGGTGCAGGGGCTGGCGAGGAGGCGGCAGCCGCTGCGGCAATCCCTGCTGCTGCTGCCGCTGTGGCGCCTGCGCCTGCCGCTGCTGGGCGCCGCCGCGGCAGGCCTCCCTCCAAGCCCAAGCCCACAGCCGCAGCAGCTGAGCGGGAGACTGCGCCGCAGCCACAGCCTGAGGCGGAGGCAGAGGCAGAGGCCGCTCCCAAGCAGCGGCAGCCGAAAGTGCAGCAAGAGGAGGCAGCGGCAGCGCGCCACCGGGGCCGGCCCCCTAGCAAGCGCAGGGCTGGCGAGGGGGAGGCTGCGGAGCAGCCGGCAGCGGCGGGCGGCGAGGAGCGGCGGCAGGAGGAGGAGGAGGAGGAGGCGCCGCCGCCGCGCAAGCGTGGCCACCCCCCCGGCAATCGCAAGGCTGTCGCGGCGCCGGAAGAGGCTGCTGCTGCGCAGGAGCAGCAGGAGCAGCAGCAGGCGGCGGGCGCCGGCGCCCAGCCTGGCAGCGCCGGCAGGCGTGCCGCCGCTCGGGACCGGCGCCGGTCGGCAGCGGCAGCCAAGCAGGCGGCAGGGGCGGGGCTGGAGCTGGGGAAGGGCGCTGCTGCTGCTGCTGAGGAGGAGGAGGAGGGGCCGCAGCAGGCGCCAGCCGCTCCAGGCCGCCGTGGCCGCCGTTCTGCTGCCTCCCCGGCGGCAGCAGCAGCAGCGGCTGCAGCAGCAGATGCGGCCGCTTCTGCCGCCGAGCAGCCTGCATCAGGCGGCGGCAGGGCAGGCAGGCGCTCGTCTGTGCGAGCTCAGCCGGCCAGGCAGCAGCAGGAGCAGGAAGAGGCTGAGGGCGAGGCCGCTGCCGGTACGCGCTCGCCTGCCCCGGCCGCGGCGGCGGCGGGCAAGGGCGGCGGCGGCGGCCGGGCCAGCGGGCGCAAGCGCAAGACCAGCGCCGCGGCGGTGGCAGTGGAGGCTGAGGCGGAGGCGGAGGCGGAGGAGGCGGAGGAGGCGGAGGAGGCAGCAGGCGGCGGCGCCAAGCGCCGGCGCACAGCGGGCGGCGGCAGGGCCTCTGCTGCCGCCGCCGCAGCCACCAGCAGAAACACGCCGGGCGGCAGGGCGGCGGCTGCGGCCGCTGTCAAGCCAGCACCCAAGCTGGTAGGCGCCAAGTCAGCAGGCAAGGGCACGGCAGGCGAGGCCCCAGCCGGCTGCCGCACAAGTCGTCAGTCGGCGCCACCGGCCGCAGTCGGCAAGGCGGGGCCTGCGGCCGCGGCCGCAGCTGACGCTGCTGCGGCGCCTGGGAGCGGGGGCAAGGTGTGTGTGGCGCTCAGCGGCATGCACAGCGAGCAGCAGGCGGAGATAGCTACCAAGCTGCGCAAGCTCAAGGTACGCCCCTGGGCGGGAGGGTGAGCGAGCAGTGCTCTGCGTGCATCGCCGCTGCCTGCTGCTGCTGCTGCTGCTGCTGCTGCTGCTGCTGCTGCTGCTGCTGCTGCTCGCCTGGCGAAGCCTGCCTGCGGGCCGGCCTGCTCCCCCGCATGCCTGCCCCCACCCGTCCCGCCTTCCGGCCCGTTCCTGGCCGCCCACATGCCCGCACCTTGCTCCCATTCCCCACTCCCACCCCACTGCTGCACCCTCCCCTGCGCCACTCCCCTTGCCCTGCCCGCCTGCCGCACCCCCGCCAGCAGGTCAAGTGCATCACCGGCAACCAGCGCCACGACTGGACGTCTGAGGTGCGAGGGCAGGGGCCAGGGGGGTCAGGCCCCCCCAAACCCTGCCTGCCTGCCTGCCTGCCTCGCCCCGTCCCTGCGCTCCTTCCTCTGCCTCTCCCGGGCACACACACCGCCGCAGCGCTGCGTGCCACCGGCACGGCGCTGCACCCCTCGCCCCACACGCCTCTTCCCTATCCCCCCGCCGGCCCTCAGCCGCCGCTCCGCACCCACTCGCACCGTCTCAACCAGCCCAATGACTGACTGACTGGCTGACTGACTGACTTTTACACCCGTTATAGCAAGTGATTGAAACCTTTATAGCAATGATTGAAATGATTGCACCCCTCTTCACACACACACACACACACACACACACACCTCTTTCCTCCTCACCGCAGGTCACTCACGTGGTGTCGGCGGCGCCGCGCCGCAACCAGAAGTGAGCCTGACCTCCCTGCCTGCCGGCAGCTCGCGCCCTCTTGCCAGAACCGATCCCAGCGCAGCAACCCCAGCAGCCTGTGTGCCCTCAGATCCAGTTTCGAGCTTGTCTCGGCCCGGCGGTGCTAGCCCTGCAGCGCTGCCGGCCCTCCGCCCCGCACCTGCCCGGCTGGCCGGCGAGCTCTGAGCCTGCCCTCCGCTGCAGATACATGCGCCGATCAATAGTTTGCCCTCTGCTGCAGGTGCCTGGCGGTGATGGCGGCGGGCGGATGGCTGGTGGGCACCGGCTGGGTGGATGCCTGCCAGGCGGCGGGGCGACTGGTAGCGGAGGTGGGCCTCGCAGTGCAGGGTGCTGGGGGCACGGTACCGCCGGTACTGCCCGGCTCCTGCATCGGCGCTTGCCCCTGCCGCCGCCCCTGCCGCTGCCCACTCCTCCTTCCCGCCCTGGCTGCCCTTTCTTTCGACACTCCCACCTCTCACACCTCTACCTTGCACCTCCCTGCCGCACCACCGTTCCCACCTTCTTTCTTCTTTCTTCCTCCCACCCTGCCCTGCACCCCTCCCCCCAGGAGCCTCACGAGCTGCTGATCGGCGCGGCGGAGGTGGAGGCGGGGGCGGCGCCCCACTGGCGCGTGCGCGCGCGGCGCACGGGGCGGCGCGCATTTGAGGGCCTGCGCGTGGCGGTGGCGCCCGCGCTGGGGCAGCCCTTCAGGCGGGAGGACATCGTGTGAGCTTCGGGTGGTGCGGTTTGTGGGGTTGAGATGCGTTCGGCGTGGGTCCCTCTTCCCCCGGGGGGAGGGGGTCCAGTTGTGGTGATGTGCTTGGTAGTGTGCCTGGGTGTGGTGCAGTGTGCATGGGCTTGTGTCTCCATGTGCCCCAGGCCCCAAGCATACAACAAC